TGTGTGTGTGTGTGTGTGTGTGTGTGAAATCAAGTTTATAGCACTTATCTATCAAAACTAACATTACAGCTACAAGTGTTGTCCAGAAACAGTGTAAAATAGCAAACTGGGAGGAAATTACAAAGTAATCGATTACTGCAATGTTAAAATTAGAACAAGGTACAATGTGATTTCAATTGTAATGCCATTCATCCATTTATCCATTCATCTTCTCCCACTTGTCTATTTCAGCATCACAGTGGGGTGGAGACTATCCCGGCTGCCATAGGGCAAGAGGTGGGGTTCACCCTGGACAGGTCACCAGTCTGTCGCAGGGCTAACATAGAGACAGACAGCCATTCCCAATCAAATTCGCAACTCAGTTGTAATAAATAACCTAAAATTAACATTTAAAAATATAAATGTTAACAAAATAAGATGGAGTCTAGCTAGGAATGTCAAAAACACAAAATTATACAAATATTTATATTTTTAAAAGCCTTGGAATAAAAAAAAAAGTTTAACTATATATGTCTATCATAAACCCATATACAGTTGTAGCTCATTTTTAAAATGCCAGCAACACTTTAGTCCCCCTTTTTTAAAACCTGGTCTCAGACCTTTTTAATAGTTTTCTAATATAGAGACATAACACAGTATACAGCAATATACTCTACATATAATTACACAAAGCACTTCAAACTAAGGTAAATCTAAGAACACATTACTGAATAAATTACCATTTTTTTAAAAAAAATGTGACTGGACCTCATGACTAAGGAAACATGTTTATACGATCCACTCATTCAGCTTGCAAAAAATACTAACAATCTATCATCATGCCGGGAAAATCATGATAATTTTTCTGTTACCAGGCAACCAAGGCTTAATAAGTGAGGACAAGCTTCGGAGCGCCACGGTGCATGTAAGAGATGCAGCTGACAGCTGCCCACCTCCACCACTCTCACCTGAGTTAGTCAGCAAGATATGCTGCATTGCATCAAGAGGTCGTGGCAGACTGCTGGAAGATGAGGTGTGCTAATGGTGGCATCTGCTTAGGAACTCTTTATGAAGCGTTCTTCATGCAAAATGCATTATCATCCTTTTCATTTTCTTTATTGGGGCTCCATTTCATCACTAGCATCAGAAACCTTTCTTTTTTGCTTAGATAACGCTATATTAAGACAATAAAAGTCTTCCTACATTGGTCATTATCTGTAATAAATACTATTAAGGGGCCCAGCGTGCCTCTGTGGAGGCTCGGGACATAAATAAACTCCACTGCTTTGGTATAAAACCTACATGATGCAGTGTGGTAATCTTATTGTTTATTGTGTGTCAGCCAAACAATGAGAGGAAGATACAGCCATGTTTTGTTTTACACTTTTACCACGTCAATCACTTTTGCAGCAGTGGGAGTCACATCCTCTTTAGACCCTCTTAAAAAAGTCCAGTGTAGGTTTGTCAGTTCAGGCATGCAATGTGATGTCATGCTAAGAAAATCTGAAAGGGCCTCTGGCGTGGCAGGCAGTGTGGACAGATGGTTGGTCCAGCTCAGATGTACAAGGAGAAACCCCAACAGAATGGATGAATCATCATTCCACCAACTGTTCCTCTCAGCAAGTAATCAGAATTCAGCACATTCACGCTTTGTTTTCATGGCTGGACAAAAATATTGTATCATGGAGAATAAACCATTCAACAACAAAATCTTCCAAGTGCTGCTAAACCTTGACACAGAGGCACGGAAAGACTTCTGATCTGGAAAAAGCTCAGAGCAATGTTCTCTGGAGAGTGAAATATTTATAAGGATCAGACATTAAAGATTGTGGTGCACCTTAAGAAAGTTACTTCTGCTGCAGACGCTTCACGTCATACTTAAAAATCAACATTAGGGGTGGAAAACAAGCACAGCAGAAGTCTAATGTTAGAAATGCAACATTTTATCCAGGTTCTCAGAAAATTTCAGGAAGGTGGGTTAATATTATCTTTATTAGCTGAACAGAATAAGAAACATTTCATTAAACACCCAATAATAGCGTTTTTAAAGTCTTACTTTAAAATGTTTTATTTAGTTACAGCAAAAATAAAAAATAGTGCAATCGTAATAAGAACACTAGCCTGACCTGTACTTAACTAAAGAAAAAATGCGCTGCGCTTTTATTTTACAAAATTGCACTGTTATTCGTGAATACAGGTGAATACTGATGCCTATTATTATTTATAGGTGTTGCTATGATTTTACAATTGCATCCTGCCTTTTCTTTGGCCAGCAGAATGATGGATGAATGGATTTTCATGGTGAAATTTAGCAAGCAAACTCCTGTAGTGATTAATCATGTCCAGAGAAGCTTTAGAAAGGTCAAATACATCAGTCAGTGAACAGACTAAAGGAAATGCAGAAAAGCTGATACCTTTGCATACATTAAAGCACATACACACACACACGCACAAGAAACTGAATTCATGGTACATCAGTGACCTGTTCACATGAGGAATTGTGTGTTTATACAGCTACTGTACAAAACTTTAATACATTTTAAAGCTGTGAAATTCATCTACAGATGACAGCAGGAAGAATAAAATATAGCATCACTGCAACGAAGCAGCTAGTAGTATTACACAGAAAAGCTTATTTTTCATAGAGCACAGAAAGAAACTGCTATTTTAGATAACAGTATGAACACTTTAAAATAACAGCTTAATGCTGGCAAGGTAGCAGCCAGCGTCTTCTTTATGCTTAATTTAACATCCACTCATTGATCTTTGAATCTTTGAATCTTTGAATCCTCATTGAATCCACTCATTGATCTTATTTGATTGGTGGATCTGAGTTTTATGCGGTAGAATTAAATTATTTTCGTCTCCCTGCGTTATTTTAACACGGAATTTGTCTATTTTACCATTTGCGCCATGTGTTCTCTCAGTGGGAACCTTCCTCTCATCCTGGCACTGTCGTGACATGACACTGCAGCAACGCCACTACAAACAGCAGATTGGCTGGCACAGCAGCCCGCAATAGTGTGTTTTCCACTGAACTGTTGTGTTTCACCAGCTCCAGGTAGATTCTGCTGAAAAGCAGCAGGTAGCTCCTCTCTGTCAGTAACAACTGATGGATACGCGGATTGGCTCGTTCCAGCCCGCCGCTCTCATGCTCCTCCTCTCCATCGGAGTCCTGCCTGCGCTGCGCTTGTTGCAGTGAGCGCGGAGGGTTTGTGCGCTCTCGGGTTATGAAGTTGTGGACAGGAGGAGAGGATATCGGTGACAGCAAGACGCGCAGAGGAGGAGAAGAGTAGATGCTCGTTGGTGTCGTTCCACTCTTCATTCTGGGGAATACGCTTAAATCGGGAGATTGCGGCGGAGAAACGCGCTGAAACGAGTTTGTGGCATTTAACTGGGAGACCAAGCATACCCAACAGTATGCGGTGCAGTTATGGCAGGCAAGGGTAAGACAGTCGTGAGGACGCTGGAGGATTTAACGCTTGATTCTGGTTATGGTGGAGCCGCGGACTCGGTTAGGTCGTCCAGCGTGTCGCTGTGCTGCTCCGACACGCATCAGTCCATCTCGCATGGGGGAAACTGCTGGCATCTGACGGAATCCATGCACAGCAGACACAACAGTTTGGACACAGTCAACACCGTCCTGGCGGAGGACACGGAGATACTGGAGTGCTCGGGTCACTGCGCCAAGCTGCCCGAGCTGGAGGAGGTGCCATGGACCCTGGGCGAGGTGGAGGGCGCGCTGAGGAAAGACGAGGAGCTGATGGTGGGCAACCCGCCACCGGAGGTCCTGGCGCGACTGTCGACTCTCATTAGCCGTGCGCTGGTGAGGGTGGCCCGGGAGGCGCAGCGACTCAGCTTGCGCTACGCCAAGTGCACCAAGCACGAGATCCAAAGCGCCATCAAGGTGGTGCTCTCGTGGACCATCTCCGTCAACTGCATCACGGCGGCTCTGAGCGCCTTGTCCCTCTACAACATGAGCACCGGGGACAAGTTCAGCCGAGGCAAGTCCGCGCGCTGCGGGCTGGTCTTCTCCGTGGGGAAGTTCTTCAGGTGGATGGTGGATAGTCGGGTGGCCCTAAGGATCCACGAGCACGCTGCCATATACCTCACCGCCTGCATGGAGAGTCTGTTCAGAGAGGTTTTCACCCGCGTCCTGCGCAGCGCGCTCGTGGAGAGGGATAACGGGATCCCCAAGTTTACGCTGGAGTCAATGGAGCAAGCCATCTGCAACGACTCGGAGATCTGGGGTCTGCTGCAGCCCTACCAGCACCTCATATGTGGCAAGAATTCAAGTGGTAAGCCATGTCAGTGAGTGGTTAACTGTTTGAAACGTGATTGACGTACATTTGGTGGTGTGTGCAGAGGGCTTTTTTATCACCTAAATCACCATATGAGTAAAATCAATTTGCCCCCTGAAACAACTTGTTTCCAAAATGGAAATCCACGTGCTTCAGGAACTGTCTAGAAACAAGTGGCTGCCTCTTTAAATAAGCCATAACTATGACTCAACTGGGATGAGGCCTGATGTAGAAAATAATTTTCTTTTCAAAAGCTATCTTCATCTCAAGTTCTGCTCATTTGTTTGGAGGATAACAACACATTTTATTTTATTTTTTCCTAATCTGCTTAGCGTACCCTCTTAAGAAAAGCAATATGACTGTAAACTGTGTTATTATGCTGGGGAATAACCACTGCTTATATTGCTAGTGTAATTCCATACCCAAACAAAAGGGCTTGGCAGTTTTTGAATATTTATTATCCTCAGCTTAGACCTCAAGGCCAACCTCTGAAACAGTATCTTGGTTGTTGCAGCCTCAGAGCAACAGCCAGACTAGACTAGGTATTTATGGTGAAAAAGATCAAACAAGCTCAAACCTCTACTTCTTTGAAGCTATTGTGCTCTCAGACTGTCATTAGCAGCACAGATGTTAATGAGTGTTTTTGATAGACTATAGGAAATGCATTTATGTATCATGATGTGTGTGCGTCAGGATTTTTTTGCACAAGCAGGCTTTGTGTTTATATTGTGTGCTGGCCTTGTTGATAATGCTACAGTCTCACTCCAGAAGGTGTAAGCTGTCAGTGTGGGCTGGCCCTCTTGTTTTCAATGCCCTGAATGAGTTGGCTGAAAGCAGAAGGGAGTTGAAATGCTGTTCTCCAACTGAGAGCCAAACTGGGCTGTGTAATACTGGCCAAAGAATCATAGTGCAACACTTTGGCTAGTTGCTGCAGCGCGATTGTTTTCTCAAGACATGGGTTCAAAAGAAGAGATGGATGGGTTAGCTAAGAGAAGATTTTTTTCTTGCACATGTGTGACCTATCTTTCTGAACGATTCCTCCGTAATGAGACCAGAGAAGATTATTCCAGAAGCAATCTGAAGAAAAATGGATATGAGATCGTTCTCACAGATTCTTCAGTGAAGTGAAATGATCTGAAATTGAATGTCATGGATGCAGTTCTTTTCTTTAAAGATGGGAGTCTTTTCTGTCCCCCAAATCCTCACGTGCAGTGTAGTAACTTAAAATGCATCATTGCATCTTCATATTAAAACAGATCAATTCCAAAAAAGTACTGTTGCTATTGAATCTGCAAGCTGCTTGGCATCCACCTCTACACCAGTTGTCTCTGACTTGCCCTATTATCTCCCAGGTGTGTTCATTGACTAGTGGGGAGGCATTGGTTATCGCAGTTTAAAAAATAATTACTTTCTTTTGGCTATAGTAGTCCTAACTAAAATAACATTTTAAAGAAGTTGTAAGGAAATGCTTACACATTTTTAAAAAGCTCAACGTTGAAGCATGCACATTTTTCTTTAATCTGCAGTGATACCAAACACTGAAAAACAGCAAATCCTGTGATTAAGAATAGTCCCAGTTTCATTTTCTGTCCGTTTGTTAGATTAGGGTGAGCTTAACTGAGTCATTCATCCTCTTTTTACATTGTTGTTTTTCATCATTTTTATTTTTTTACACAACTGCTTTGTCTTGAAATTGTAAAAACATGAATTCTGTGTAGATTGGATGTTGAGCCAGGCATGCATTCCCTCTGCTCCACCTCTGTGCAGTGCATGATTTTCTGGTGGTGCAGAGGAAGATATCATTTGGAGTCACACAAAACAGCGTGATGTCATTTTAAAACAGTTATCAAGGCAAAATGCGTAGATTTAAAAAGTACTGTTTTCCCTTCCCTGACCCAGCAGTGTTATTAATGCATTTCAAAGATGAAGAAGACAAATGTATTACTTTGATTTTATGCCAACAAAGGCTGCACTTTGAGAATTATTTAAAACTGAGTCATCAGACCTGCGGCCAAATAATTAACCACGGATATTAATCTAATAATCACTGAGGTGTCTGTGATGGCTTCTTTTTGGTAGCTTTGGTGACGGCAGTGAGACTGGATGTAGTAAATAGAGAGAGCAGGGGAGGCCTTCTTGTGACCAACATGATCTTTTTGTCTAAAAATGTCACCTAAGGAACAAAAGCACCGGAGTGCCTAATGATTAAACCCACATTGCTCTACACTCCCACTGACCATACGTGACAGCCTCTCTGCTCTGACTAATGAGTAGAGCATAACGGAAGCTTTTCTTCACCTCCTTTATTTCCAGAGGTGCTTGCAGCTGCTCAACCTGCTGAAAATTCTGGATGTTTCCAGAATATTTGCTGGTAAAACAGGCAGTGTGAAAGGTTTGGGAATGTTTGAGCTTATAAGAGCTTTAATTTAACTTGATGACTTTCCACGCTGATAGCCTAACCAAAAGTAATTCTGAAATGAGTCACACCTTATATACCCAACTGTTATGGGTGGAGGAGAAGGTGGAGATGGAAAATAAATAAATAAATTAGGGCATCGCCAACTGAAATTTGTCAGTGTCTTTATGAATGATTCATTTCCAAAATGAAACGAGTCATGAATCATTTCTGATGTGCTACTTTACATTCAGCGGTTAAAGAGTGGTACATTTTGAGGTGTGTTTTTGTCCAGCCTGTTAGCCCTCTCAAGTCTAATCTATATCTGTGTAATTTGTTTTATTTCAATTGGTTTCCCAAGTTTGGGCAATCAGGGAACAAACACATGTTTATTCTAACTGACATACATAAACAACTATTCACATTTTCTTTCAAAATACAGAATTGATGCTCCAGACCTCAGAGGGTTAACTTAGCACTCTCTCGTACCTCTGTTTTTGGTTATAGCCTACCAACTCCTGATGTGACTTTATAGGAAATGGTTTACTGTGTTGAGTAGCTAGTTAATAACTGCTTTATCTGCTCTTTTGTACAAGGGGGATTTTAAGAATACAGCTCTTCCTACTTCTAGTCTGACCAATGTTAAGCTGTATTTCTGCTTTTCCACTATTAAGGACCCACAAAGTCTATATAAGGGTTTCGAAAGGGAGAAACTCATAAGTGGCCCCAGACAAGACTGCATTCTCTGGGGCTGACAGTTGAGTTTTGCTTTCACTTGCCGCTTACCTTTATTTTCTCTCAGCTTGGTTCACCTAAAAACCAAAATGATTAGCGTGAGGCACTAAAACAACTTGATACAGAGCTAAGTGTTGTCTTATTTTCAGGTGCGTTAACTCTAAACTTAACTACGCTATAACTAAACCACATGTCGGGTAGTTTTCTGGAAGATTGTAGTCTCAAACCAAAGTAGTGAGTAGTCAACAGAAAACCAAAACAGTGATCTTAAACTTGTTTAAAGCTGCAGATTCAGGTAAATCTCTCCTAATTCTTTACAACAAGCTCCCACTTTCACATGAGATTTGCAAAATATCAATTATTGCCACTTTAGCTCTTACCTTAACTACTACACCCATGTGGGGTCCCAATTTTGCCAGCACTTAAATATTTTGAGTTGATTTAGGTGCATAAAGTGTCATACCTTGTGCATTTTGGAAGGATGACTGAAATTTGAAGTATAACTGTGTGTAACTGTGTACATGACTAGTAAAATAAGGGCACTTCCTTCATTGCTTTCTATGTAAGCCTGGTGCATCAGGTTTCATGGAGAGGCAACTGTCCTATTTCCCTGCACTAACATGGGTTTACCTTACAGGAAAGCAGTTTTATAAGATTAACATCCAATTTCTGCACCTTTTCTATGCCTTCTGTGCCTTACAGATGCCAACTGAAGTGATGCATTTGATGTGTGTTGCGCTTAATCCTACATCATTGTGTATCACATATATGTATATTTCAACACATAAAGAGGTATTGCACAAACATCAAATCTAAAATGTTTCTCGATGTTGTCTTGTTACCTGATGACATGTGACGTCAGAAACAAGCAGCGTGGTCATCAGCTTCCCGACCCGCCTGCGTGATGTTTAAATTTGGCATCCTGAATGACTTGATTGTATCTGATTATGTCTGTCATTCGCCGTGACCTTCCCCAAGGAACCAATCCAACCTCCGCAGGACAGATGACACAACATAATGGTATTGCATAGCCTGCTATAGTCTGTCTATTAAATTAGCAGCAGGGTGATGGTTTCCCTCCTTCTTCCCGCTCTGTCTTTCACACCATATTTTATTTTATTTTATTTCATTTTCTCATGGTGGGGGGAAGCGGGCTCAGTGTTTGCATATTTGCTTTCCACTGTGGTTTTTAATAAGCTCGACTCATAACCACATGATTTTGGCAAAGCCTTTTGTTGTCCGTTATTATTTTCTGCCCGTCCTTCCCCTCCTTTGGGAGGGGGGATACTCGCAGATGAGCCGACAGATTGCCATAGTTCTGATGGAGATATGATGTGAGCACCCGGCAAGGCATGCTGGTTGTGATGGAGTTTGATGTCATGGTAATTTCATAAGGCCAAGGGCTGCACCCACAACCCTCCACCCACGTTTCAGCAATGATCAGTGATTGTGAAGTTGTGTGAAGTTGTTTTCCAGGCCAAGATATATTTTATGAACAGCATCCATTTCCCTCCATGTTACTGGCTTATGAAAATATTAACTTTAATTTCTTATGCTTCTAGGTAAATATTCTGATAGGAATTCCACACGTACAAGTCAGCTGAGACCAGCCTGAAATTGTTGTGGTTTTATTACTTGCTCTGTGTCATTGGAGCGTGGATCCCCTTCCATTTTCAGGAAGTAGGTGAATGCACTGGGTCACGATGAGATAATAAGAGGAGTGTGGGAGTAGTGAATGCTTAATGCTGTGAAGGAGTCAAGTGCAGGAGGAGAAACCAGGCTGGAGTGTCAGCTGCAGGAGCTGTTGCTGAGGGGGCATTGGCCCAGGTCCCTTAGAGATATAATTACCATGCAGCTCTCTTTAATT